TAGCTCTGCCTTCTGGTGTCCCCAGACCCTTGTCTCCAAGCCTGCTCCCAGTAGCTGGGACGGTCCCCCCCGGCGAAGCTGTGTGCCCAAGGGGCTGTTTGCTGTGGCAGGATCAGCTGTGTTGTAAGTCCTGGGGCTGGCTTGTCCCGGCCAAGCTGTACGTGGGGAGCACGAACTTTGGGTCGCAAAGCCTGGTGTGCAGGACTTTGCCAGCATCGCTTTGCAAAACACCGACAGCCGTGCCCGGCTTCAGTCCAGCCATGGCAGCCTTGTCTCTGCTGCGAGGGGTGTTGTAGGAGGGGACGGTGCGGATCCATGAAGCTGGCTCCAGCAGTGCCGGGGCAGCAAAGTCCGTGAGCTCCTCTGGCACCCCTTGGAAGTAGAAGTGAGCTACTGCATTAAAGCATGACCTGGCTGCCTTCACGTGGGCCCTAACCAGCCCTCTGGGGAAGGGCGGCTTGGCTCGTGGTGGCGGTTTAACTGCTAGCACAAGTTAAGCTGCTGACAAAGCTCCCGTGATCCCTGGCGTCTTGCCTTTGGGCAAGCAAATCGCCACGAGTCTCTGCCGCCAGCGGTGCATCTTGGCTTTCCCAAGGGATCCCCTGTCAGCAGCGTGCTTGGCTCGCTACGGTTAAGCACAGGAGGCTCCCTAGTGCGGCCCACCTGCCTTGATGTGGTGTTAGTTGCTGGTGTGCAAGTCACTACCTGGAAATGGTGCATCTGGGTGTGTTTTGGGTGTTGTGAACAGGAGCACTTGGATGTACTCGACTGCCTACTGCTCCCAACACCTTATAGCTGAAGGACTGGGGCTGTGATGCTTGGCCTGTGGGCTGGCACAACCCAGTGACCTGCTCCCGTTCTGCTGAAAATCAGGGTGAAAACTGGCTCTGAAGTTTTGTGTGACACTCTGTGTCCTTAATGGCTCAGATGCCTCGGTATAGCCTTGCTGGCAGAGATCATAACGCTCAAGGGTGGGTGGAAGGGAAGCAGTCTGTGATGTCCTCTGGCCACTGTGCTCACACGAGATTCATGGTAGTTACCGTGTGTGGCAGCGGCTAGGAAGGTGACCTGTTTGGTCCTCCAGCCTCCATTCCTCAGTGTAAATAACCTCTTGTTTATGTCCTTTTAATTCTCTTACAGAACAAGTCCACGGCACCAAAAAGGGAATCTCTTCTCCCTGTGAGCAGCACCTCCAAAGAGAATGGGGTTCGTGTAGAGCAAGATGATCAGGACTTATTTGGTGGTGAGTCTGTTTCTACTGAGTGTTTGCTGGGGCTTTCCGAACTCTTAAGCCTGGAGTGATCTGCTTTTAAGCATGACATGCAGGTCATGGATATTTCTGGACTATCACAGGTCCTTATCTCAAACTCGTGTTCCAGTCTGCTCTGGAAGCACTAAGGTCTGGTGGTGTTTTTGGGAAGGTCGGAGTAGCCTCCTCCAGGTCTCTAGCATAATCATGCGGCAGGATTAACTGTTTGGAAGCTGAAGATTATTAAAATGGGGTTTGCTTTGGTTTTGTTGCCTTAAACTGGAAGGTGGACGAGTGTCCTCCTGGAGTTAAAAGGCTTTTGTTCTTCACCTTCTCCTCCCTCCGTGCAGGTGGAGGAAGCATCTCTAGTCAAGACGTGGCTGTTCCCAAGGAACAGGAAACATAATTCCCCTCAGCAGGGGAAAATGAGGAGGGTCGGACCTTCCCCAGCCCTGGCATGGTGGGACACCTCTGGCAGAGGCATCTGAGAGTCAGTTCTGGAGACATCTGCTGACAGATGAAAGTTTTGACTTCCTCTGTGTGGAGAAGTGTACTGGGAAGGAGCCTGCCTGGGTAGGCTGGCCTACATGCTGTGCAAAAGTCCAGCTTGGCTTTAGCTGTTCTAGTGTGCAGCTCGTCTAGCACACAGCAAGGAGGTGAAGTCTGGCTCCTTCTAGAATACGAAGTTCATTGGATTAACTTAATGTTCTCCAGCAGGATTGATCAAATGCTCTTAACAGCAGTGAAGATGCATTAAGTCGTGCTTTTCCCAATGCTTGCAGGTGTCCTTCCTATGGACTTTTTTGCTAATTAAGACTATTGTTACTCCCTACATCTCATGAACCTCTCTGACAATACTGAAATTACCTTTCCAGAAACCCGAAGTAGGGAGGCTGACCCTTGCAAACTTCTCTTGACAGATGCCACTGTAGAGTTGTCTCTAGACAACACGCAAAACAACCAGAAGAAGGAACTGGCCAAAGCATCCAATCCTGCCCCCTCATTAGAAGTAGCTGCAAGCTCTTCTAGAAACCCTCCAAAGAGCTATGAGGAGGTGAGAATTGCTCTGAGCTTTCCAACTTGCCCTGCTGGTTTCAGACTGTAATTGGCAGGAACCTGTCTGTTTACTTAGTTGTAAACATGCATCTTAAATGGTGCAATTAATGTAATTGCCCTATTGGGTTTCCTGGCTTGTATCTCAGGCCATCACTCTGGGACTGATACTGCTGAAGTGGGGTCCAGGTCAGCATTCTTGCCTGTGTGGTGGTGCAGACTGCTTCCAAAGCTGAAATAGCAAGTGGCTCGTCTGGTCCTGAGGGTCTGAGCTCTGACCCAGAGCTCTAGCATGCTGTATTGCCGCAGATGGGGCAAGTGGTGTAGCTGCTCTTGTCCATGTTTTTAAAAGAAACAGTCTCTTGGGTGACATGAGAGCACAAGGTCCTTAAGTGGAACTCGTAGTCTGGTTGCCAAGCCCAGTTAATCAGGTGGTACTTGGCCTAAATCCGTGTTTTCTCCTGTAGAGAGGCTGAAACTATTTTGGAGACAAGGAAAGTGCTCCTTTTCTGCCTCAAGCACCCCTGAGCTCATGAGGACGGACTCTGCAGTGCCGTTAGGAGTGGTGTCTCAGGTTGGCTTCAGACTGGCTTAAGTGAAGGAGCAATGCAGAACTAGGCCAGGATGCTGAGCTGGTCAGCAAACCGATAAGCTGTCACCTTCAGGTTCATAGGCCAAAGGCTGTCTGAGGCCAGTCTCAGCTCTGCTTTGCCCAGTCCTTTAGTACCATTCCACTAACGAGGCACTGCCAATGCTCTCTAAGCAAGCCTGAAGCCTCTGTGGTCTGTCAGAGGCAGTACTGCTGGTATAGCCACCCGCTGGCCTTTAGCGAAGCAGGGTTTGATGGAAAGACCCGTTCAAACTGGGTCTGCCAGTTGCTATCCTGGCTCTCCGTCCCCGTGTGCCTACACAGTACAACTTGCCTTCAGCATAGGTTCGGTATCTTGCACTGTTTCAGATGAGAACCAAAATCATGATGTAAAAGAGCCCAGAGGGACCTATCCTGCACAGAGCTGAGGCTGGACTCTGCAGAGTTTCACCTTGGGGCTGAGCAGTTTGTACATCGGTCTGTGCAGATAGCAGTGTCGTAAAGACAAATCCAGTTTTGGGATCCTTGGAACATGTAGCCTGGACACAAGTGAGAAACTCGAGGGCTTTATAGAATGGCCTTGGCCAGACTGAAGTGCCAAAGGTGCCTTGGCAGTGTGACAAGCTCACCGTAATGTATGGGACTTCATGGTTTGGGGTGGTTTGAAGCCTGGCTTTCTAGTTTTAACTTGCTGTCCTTGTGTGCTTACATCAAACAGCTGGAAGAAGAGGAACAGGAGGACAAATTTGAGCTGACTGTAGGAGTGAGCGACCCAGAGAAAGTTGGTGAGTTAATACCCTGTCCTGCTGCATGGTGAAGCACAGTTAGGCAAGCTAGACTTGGCAGTAGGATGGAATGCAGCTATCACCTCCATGTGCCACAGCTCCAGCTTTCGAGCTGTCTCTGCAAGCGCAAACTTGATCCTGGAGTAACTTCTCCAAGACTTCTTGCAACATCTAGAAGAAAAGAGGCTACACAAAGCAAAATGCCTAGGTCACAAGCGAGTGAGGCAGAAGCAGGTTCTGGAAAGCCAAGGATCTCAAAGGCCAGGAGCGGGTTTTCTGGGCGGGTGGAACGTGACGTTTGCAGTAGCAGAGCTTGGTGTCTGGAACTGTGGTGACCAACTTGACTTGACCTCCAGGCAGCACTGTCTTGTGTGCAGGTGGCAGGGGGAGGCAAAACTGCCTTAACCTAAAACGAAGTGTATTATTCCATTCCTTTCCTAGCAGCTGTGCTTGCCAGGGAAGCAGCTCTGGCTTCAAACTGAGAAGCAAGAGGGTTTCTCAGTTGAAAGTGGGGGTCAGAGGAACTTGGCCAGCTATGTGGTAGTCCCTGTGATGCAAAGAACCCCATATAACATCTGATCCCAGTTGGCGGAGCAGCCTCACATGTGGCAGCTTGTTCTCACTCTGTGGCTCATGATTTCTGGAGCTGGGAGGTGCACTGACTTGTAAATCTGAGGTGTACTAGGGGTGGCATCAGACTTCTGCAGATGCCCTTCAGTTAAACTACCAGGTAAACCCTCCCTTTGCCAAACAAGGGGATTTCTGTGTTAGCTGGGAAAACTGCCTGTGATGTTTTAGAATCCAGCCACATGCAGCCCAGGGGCTGTCTGACTTGCATCTTCTGAATAGACTGCTTCATGTGCTGTACAGCCGCGGAATTGTTGCGTGCTGAGCAGATGCGTGGACTCAGCCCAAATGCTGTCAGGGTAACAAGTGCCTGATTGTTGGTTTTGGCTGCCTTAGGAAGTAAAA